TCGTCTCGTCTCGTCTCTCTCTCTCTCTCTCTCTCTCTCTCTCCTCCTCCCTCCCTCCTCTCTCTCTCTCTCTCTCTCTCTCTCTCTCTCTCTCTCTCTCTCTCTCTTTCTCTCTCACCCTTATATCTCACATTCTCTTGCAAATGTCCTGGAAATGGAAAAGGAGGCTTCTCAGATCGATTCGGAGATTGGAACAGTTCATCGACATCCCAATTGACTCTCTGCCACGATTCCGTAATGATAGCGTCTTAAATATTATTTTCACTTTCTTCCTCTCGAAAACTTTTCTCTTACTAAGAAATGTTTCCTGTCGAAAACTTTTCTAATATAAAACGAAAACGACACGTACACATACGAGAGCTTGCTTTTTAACGTGTCGATAATTATTCGGTTTCGCGGAAAGGTAAAGAATTTGAAAAAAAAATATAAAGCAATATTACAATTGAGCGTCAGAAATGTTACACAGTAAATAAATAATACTGAAATATGGGGTGAGAGACGGGGAAGAGGCGAATTAAAAAGTATTTATCACTTGTAATGGCATACATGGTGGGGCATCGATGCAAATTTATGTGAACATTCGGACGATGCTCCCGCCTGAATGGCACGAAATCACCGATTCGAGGCGGACAGGGGTTTGGCATTACGTGGTTTGTAACCGACTGCACTATGCATATACATGCATTCACGTACGGAGCTATACAGGGCCGCATCCGCTATTTCGCGCAGAAGATGCGTGCATCTGTTTTATATATTTCGAACATATCAAGTCCTTCCAATATCTTTTTTTTTTTATATTTTCCTCTAAGAAAGCATTGTTTTCTCCTGCCCTCGAAACTTGCGTTACAATAAAGTAGCTTATAGAATTGACAAGTATTCGATTGAAAATAAAGAAACTGAAAAAAAATTTTGGAGGAAACAGTGGAATGGAACGTACACAATCGATATATATTTGGAAGTTTAGTATCTTTAGAATTAGTCCTCCTATATTTCGCAAGTATAAATACACATGCCTTGGTGCTTCGTGTAACTACATCCCTGCAATTCGTTGCTGTATTTACGGATGCGAATGCGGCGATTTCAACCTCGTTAATACCTACCGAGGTGTGAGCGCGCGCGCGTGTGTGTGCGTGCGCGCGAACGCCTAATTAATTAACCGAAACGAACACTAACACGCAGGGCTGCATGTATGCTCGCGACGTCGCAGATTGAAAAAATTCTAATTTATTACACGCGCAGCGTGCATTCAATCCATTAATGGAATTATACTATATACGTATACGTTTACAATTAATTTCAGACCGTTTTCTCGGTGACATCGCACTGCCAAATATCAAATACGACACAGAATGGCGTGAGCAAAAGTTAAATAAAAGTTATCTCGCAGAATTGAACAAGTACAGAGAAGAGATATTTAAAGAGGGTCTCCAAGTGGAAGAGGAAGGCCTTACGGGTGAATATACTTTATATTGTAATGTATACGCCACTGCGTTTTATTAGACGCGTTTTACGTACAGAATTAGCGGTAATTTTTGCTAAAAAGTCTTTGCCAAATGTAATAATGACCCTACGGTCGCTATCTTCCTAATTTAATGTATATAGATAAATAAATGTACGTTATATTTTTATTTTATAACAGATCACACTTGTTCTAATTGCAACAAGCAATTTTTATTCACTTTCGCAACTTTGTATATTTATGAGCAGTCTTAATATCTGATGCGAGAGGGGATAATCGTTGATTTCAGAGATTCTCCAGTTTAAGAGCAATCAGGATGCTAACAAACAGATCCTGCACGAACACGATGAAGCAATCGTTGAAGAGAAGCAGGAGCCGATCATGGTAGACCGCAATCAATATAGCATGGGTGGTGAATCCGACGACGGTTTTAACTTTAATGCTAGAATGGACGATACTAATTCTGCAGTAAAAAATATGGGCTTTAAGTTTAGGTACTACAATGGGTTTTATACATTTAGACATTTTTTTATCACGTATTTTAATTCAAAAGTTTAAATATTTGGATGTTCAATGGAATATTTTTTATATTTGAATTGTATTTTAATTGTGGAAATATACGTTTATCGCAAGCATATATTATTCTCAAATGTCATGCTTGAATATGATTTTGTACAATTTTTTTAGTGCAATTACGTAATCTAAAAGATAATAAAGAGTAGCGCGATATTAATATGCAGGATGCGCTGTACACGCCAAAATAATATCATTAACTTGGCTTCTATTGTCTAAAAACAAATACATACATATTTTCTGTAATTTAGAAGAATTTTACCCGTTCTTTTGTATATTTGTGATTTTATATGTATATGCGTATGCTTAAAAACACGCGCGCGTAAAGAGTGCAGCAAAAAATGATAATTGATAAATTTGAAAATTAATTGATTATTGTGTGTCTATTCTATTAGATTAGAATCATCAACCCAAATTCCGAAGAAAAGACACTCCGGACGACAAGTTCATCGACAGCTTTCGACGACGACATCGATATCGGAATCAACGAAAGCCAGACAACAGACCGATGACATGCCTCTCGAATTTTCAACCTCCACAGCTTTTTCTACCGAGGCTAGTAAATATGTAGGTCACGTATATAGAGATAGCATCCAAGAAATATCGACTGTGCAACCTAAAATGAATACGCAAAATTTATCGAACCGACGACGCCGACATCATCATCATAGAAGGTAAGAAAAAGAAGCATAGATAGATTTTTATTTTATAGATATTATCATATAGAGATATATTTCATTTTGGTTGAAAAAAGCTTGTATTCGTAAAATTGGGACATTGATCGACCTAATTGTATATCATCAGATTAGTATTATTTAAATGTACAGTCGAAATACCGCAAATGTTTATGCATATAGTACGACCGATTAATTAGTTATTTGTTAAAACGTTACAATTATTACAATAATTTGTGAGAAGGTTTTGGCAGAATTTTGACCAATATAAAATTGCTATTAACTGCATTTTGCTTATGATATCGTTAAGCAGCTTGAAAATATAAAAAAAACCTCAGCTTTTGTTTCTCTTCAAATTTTACGATGCCACCTAGCGTATAATAAGTATATATAGAAACGTTGAGAAAATGTAGTCATATTAAAGTTGTTTATCCTTATGCAATATTCAGCGCGTGATGGATGACGCGTGTGAGTTGTTTTCGTGTGTACACGGCAAAAATAAAAGCTCATCGACTCACTATGGGCGATTACACTGTGCTCGGGTGATTCGCGATTTGACATAACTCTATTCTTCCATTTGGCGAGCGCATCAATCTCCAAGTATCGCTAACAGTATTTCCGTCAGCGCGGAGCCATCTCGCAATGCCAATAACAATGGCCGTCATCTCATAAAGCTGGAAAATGGGGTCCGATACTACCGCGTCCGGGCATTTTCAGCCCTCGAACTGCCAATAACTTGTCAACATTGGCAGCAACGTCTCGTATCGCGCGATGCCTCACCAGGTACGCCGCTCGCGCATTATCGTTGCCGTCCGCGCGCGCGTTATGCACGTCTATTAAATATAAATCATCCGTTACTGTTAAATGCTAAAATACAATAATTTTCTCCTCGCGATCATAATAAATTCAATCTCTTTATTATTTTTCCGAGATATCATCTTAACTCAATAATGGCGGAATAATGGATATTGAATAATGGATATAGATAAACGAGACAAAGGCGCTATAATAATAATTTCTAGCCGGGAGTTTTACATATACGTAAATAATAGATGCCATTTTTTATCTGGGTTGTAAGCTTTAAAAAAAAAGAGAGAAAAAAGAAATCCATTGTACGCGCTGCTTTGTTCATCCTTTCTAGAGTTTCCACTAACCCGCGTTGCGTACGCGGAACGCACACTCGCGGGTCCAGCAAGGCTGCCCAGAATTCTCTAGAGCTTCGTCGGGAATCACCAAGCGATCATGTTTCACGGTATCGGATATAGGCCGTAAACACGCGCTTTCGTAAGCTTGTTTCAAAGTTCAATCTACGTCCAGTGCGTTCCTTAATCCCTATGTATATACCGCGGCCCCTTCGGGTTTTCACCCTCGTGGGATTAGCACACTGATACGTATAACATGTATACAGAGCATGTATATTACAATGAAAGCTTTGCCACGGAACGCGAAATGGTTGTTCGATAAACAATAAGAGACTGTGTTTTTCTGACTCACGTTTCGAAAGCCTGTTGTGCATTAATTTTCTTTTTATGAGACGACATACCATAAGCTCTCAACAACACACCGACGCAGACAAACTTTTCACGCATCTTATTTTTGACAAACGCTGAAACGAGAAATATGCTTTAAGGGGATCCTAAAGTGGTCTGTTTTACTTATTTTTTTCAAATACACTTAACTTTTTTTTGGCTGTGTAGAATGAAAAGTCCTTTTGTAAGTAAAGTACATATGCTAATATACTACGGACGGTCGATTTGAAAGGATTTTTCAAGCTACGCAGCCAAAAAAAACGAATTTTACGAAAAGTAGAAGGTAAAACAGAGACGTATGTGGTCTGGTTTTACCTTCTACTTTTCGTAAAATTCGTTTTTTTTGGCTGCGTGGCTTGAAAAATCCTTTAAAATCGACCGTCCGTAGTGTATTAGCATATGTACTTTACTTACAGAAAAGGACTTTTCATTCTACACAGCCAAAAAAAAGTTAAGTGTGTTTGAAAGAAATAGATAAAACAGACCACTTTAGGATCCCCTTAACGCATCAATTAGTTTCATCGCGATGCGCGAGTACTTGCCATGCTTGATTCTATGGACCTCATCGCGATGAGATGACTATATTCTTATTTTGCGATCAGCATCTCTTAGCATCCTCAGTCTTTCTTCTTTGACATGTCAACGCGCGTGTGTCCGTGGAAGTTTTTTTGTAAGCCCACATCAATTACAAGTGCTAATGTCGGAATAGGGGTAGAATGGGCGGGCTGTTGGGCCCTCGAAACAATGGCAGTAGGCTCTCGCAACGAGCTATATAGAGGAAGCATGGTAAATGCATTTCAACCGGATTCATTAACGCACTCTGCTGCGCTCCTCCTCGTCTCCTCGCAATGCGGACGTATACTTATAGCGCGACTTACATGCAAGGCACGCTAATTAATTGTAACGCCCTACTGATTCAGAAACGCCTTGTCTAAGTGCTGCCAGCTGGAGTTGGACGGCTGGCTGGCTGAAAAGGTGGACTTGAGCGGGAGAATTACGCGCATCTCTCCAGTAATTAGTGCTAGTAAACGAGTGGCAGAAAAATTGCAAAGGACGCATAAGCACGCGTGTGATTCAAATTACCTCGATATTTGCGCAAGGAGCTTGATGCGGCGTATCGCATCAAAAATATCGAAATGTAAAATGTGAAACAATAGCGTTACTGAAGCGATTCTGTGGTGCTACATCATGATTTCTTTCCGCTCGGCCAGCACCATCATTAATATTCGTTTGCTTTTATACGCATCTTCCCTCTTTTCTCAATCATATATGACGCTATCAAACGTGATCCCGAACATTGCGCGGCACAACACTTTTATCCGTTCTCGTAAAAAGTTACACGCTCACAATGCCGTCAATTTGCGCGCGGCAGCCCGCTTTTATCGCCACACTTTTTTCGCCAACTACTTGTTTTCGAATCGAGAAAGGCCAGCGTTTTATATTATTTCTAAAATTACACATTTTGCACGAAGAGACTGCACGTAGTATTGCTGATCGTGTTAATTTTACATTTTTATCGCAATTCATTGTAGCTTTGCTTACATCTGCAATCAATACTTTTGATGTATTTTGTTTATCAGCAAAATGAAAGAGACGAAGAGAGGATTTGAGTTCAATATTTTACTTAATATCTCAAATTATTGCAAAATCACAATACATACTCACATATAGGCTAATTTAAGTAAATATTTAAGAAAATATTATATATTGCTAGAAAGAGAGAGAGAGAGAGAGAGAGAGAGAGAGGGAGAGAGAAAGAGAGCGTGCCTGCGTGTGTGTAGAATTTTCCGGAGATTTTCTCACCGTCATTGCAATTGACGAATGCACGATTTTCTTAGCGATGCACCGGACGATGTGATCTCCGTCCACGATCGACGTCTTCGTTCCATCGAATTCTACAATATGGAACACAAACCGAAGTACCTAGCGTATAGACGCGGCAGGATGCGCCGAGCGGCTACTGCGAGGAAAGAACGAGTGTGGGATCACGGCGTGATCCCTTACGAAATTGACGGAAATTTCTCCGGTGCGCACAAGGCCCTGTTCAAGCAGGCGATGAGACATTGGGAAAATTTCACGTGCATCAAGTTCGTGGAGAGGATGCAGAGGGAGCATCCCAATTACATCCTGTTTACGGAAAGACCTTGCGGGTGAGTCGCGTCGCACGGCACAATACTGGCACGATAATCGATGCTCGATGCTCAATACACACTTTTCTCGGCAGATGCTGCTCCTTTGTTGGAAAGAGGGGCAATGGGCCGCAAGCCATTAGTATCGGGAAAAACTGTGATAAGTTTGGTATAGTCGTACACGAGTTGGGCCACGTCGTTGGATTCTGGCACGAGCACACCCGACCAGATCGAGATCGTCACGTGCAGATCATTCGCGACAACATTATGAGCGGTGAGTGAGATTTTAATTTGCTTCAAAATTGAAATTCTAAATCTTGCTGTATTGTGCACGGTATGCGTGTGACATTGAAGATTTTTAAATCTATATAAAGTAAATAATGAATATAAATTCATTTGTTTTGGCTCGCATAAAATAATAATGTATACAGCGGGGAATGCGTGCTCTTTTTTAAAGTATATCTATGAATAAAAGACACATCACGTTAATGACGTTAATACTGCGAGCTAAATTGCTCGCAATTTCAAAATGTAATCGAGTTGCGATCCATCATTGCGACTAACGATTAAAATCTATCCTTTGAAGATTATATATTAAATTATGCAAGGAAAAAGGGGGATATTCAAAGTAGGGATGATGACAAGATTAGTTACCTGATTTCTGCCATTCCTATACAATCCACAGGTGGTTGGAACTAGTAGGGATAAATTTTTTAACGAATTTTGTATCGATTTTTCATTAACGAGGTTAGATTTATAGTTCTTATCATTTATTCATTATTACACATATATTTAAGTCATTCTTAATTAATTTTAATTAGATTAAAATGCCATTCTCCAGTAATTTTAATTATATTATTCAAAATAAGCAGACGTTTCGACGTGTGCGTGGCGTTATATGTTGGTTTGATAGTTTGAAAACTTGCGTGCGTTAAACAATGTTTATACATTGAAGAAGGCCTGGTAACAGGTCGAAACATCTGTTTATTTTGTAAGAATATATTATTTGAAGCACGAACAACTGGCAGTCGCTCTTTTTGCCTCATATTCTTTATTTTGATATTTTATTATTTTATTATTTATTTTCAACTATTAGAGTCTTTAGAATTTTTATTTTTTATTTATTCCAATCATTTTCTTTTATACACGTTATTCTTACACGTTATTCTTACACGTTATTCTTACAATTTGCAAAGCCAATGCATTGCAAATATCGGAGGATTACAAATATATATTTAGTACCGGCATGTTTCAAAGATATTTACTCATTAAATACGCTTATCATGAAATGATGAGTACAAATGGAAAAGACTTAAAATATTTTAAGCTGAATATTCATGAGTTAACATTGTATATGCCTTGGATTATGTTTGTTGGCGCAAAGCAATCATTCTAGCTATCTGTTTGTCGTGATAAATCTGTTTTATTTCATTTTCAGATTATTAATTAAAGTCTAATTTATCGAAAATCTGCAAATTTTACCGATTATTAGGAGCAATAACGGCACTAGATTATCTGATATTTACAAGGAATAAACACCAGAGATTATCGATTGTCGAATAATTCGCAGTAGCTCGCTACGTTGATTCCACTGAGTTATTTAGTTGGCAAAGCAGCTTATCGGCATGCTCCGCGCAGTTTGTTTGACTCTCTGCTTAAAAGCCACTGACATGCAAACTGCTATGTAAACTGTATTTGCTGTCCCAGTCGTTATGCAATGCGGAACATAACTTGGAAATATATAACGCTAGCTACACTGCTACAATAATACATTGTTATATTATAATCTAAGAAAAAAAGTGAAAAAAATAAATTGCAAATGTAAATTTATCGAGTAGACAACAAAGCTTGTTATTTGATTAATTTTAAATCGGTTTTATTTTTTTAAATAGAAATTTGCAATCACTTTATTATAGTAGAAATAAAAATGTTACAAATAAGTACATCAATACAATTTCTCGTTAAAGAAATAGAGAAATAAAATAATGTATGATTTTTACGAGTACAGTCTCAAATATTCATAAAGTTCTGATTCTATTCTATAAAAATATTTTTTAGATTAGAATTTAACAAAAATATTATGTGCCTTTTTATAGGCCAGGAGTACAATTTCAACAAATTGACCGAAGAGGAAGTGAATTCTCTTGGCTTGCCATACGATTATGATTCAATCATGCACTATGCAAAGAACACCTTTTCGAAAGGCACTTATCTAGACACGATTTTACCTCTGGAATCTCCTGGAAAAAAAAGACCTGAGATCGGGCAAAGAATCAAACTAAGCGAAGGCGACATCGCGCAAACGAATCTTTTGTATAAATGTCACAGTAAGTATTTTCATCTAATTTATCTTTATTCTTTTTAGTTTAAAAATTGTAATGCAAGAGGGAAAAAAGTTGACGTTGAAATGCATATTTACTAATTTTCATTGTTGAGTCTTTCGATTTTGATGACGATATACATCGATAAAAAGATAAATGTAAGACGAACAGCCAATTTTATATTCTTTTTGCCGAATCTTGCTTCTTTTTTGAGATACATGTCAATCTTTTGAAATCTATACATGCTAAAATGAAATAAATTGATGGGGTGAATTCGCAGAATGCGGTAGAACCTTTCAGGAGAACAGCGGTAGCTTTGGATCGCCGAATCATCCGAACAATTCACCACCTAGCGATGGAGAACGATGCGAATGGAGGATTACGGCGACGCATGGAGAACGTATTGTCCTGAATATCACGTCACTTGATATATTCAAAAGCGACTATTGTCGCAGCGATTATCTTGAGATTCGAGACGGATACTGGTATAAGAGCAGAGTACTAGGTGAGAATGTCTTTAAGAATCCAACAAACTTATGCATCTGAATAATTACCCGTAGTCAATATTTCGATTATGAGAAAAAGTAAAACTGTTTTATATTGTGAAGGAGATGTACGTAATTAATTTAACACAATTAAGGGGATCCTGGAGTCCTGTTTTACCGACTTTTATTTTTTGTGAAATTCTTTTTTTTTGGCTGCGTGGAATGAAAAATCCTTTTCTGTAATTAAAGTTCATATACTGATAGTATAGGAAACGGTTAATTTGAAAGGATTTTTTATTCCATGCAGCCAAAAAAAGTTCACGAAAAATAGAAGGTAAAACAGATCGGTACCTATAAAACAAATTATTTATTATTGCTTTTTATAGAATCACAAATCCTTTTGTGCGATTAAAGTGCACATGCTAATTGTTTGGCGGCTGATCAAATTAAAACGAAAAAAAAAAGATTTAGAAATTTTACCGACATACGTTGGTTCATACAAATTTTTTTCTTTTTTTAATTTTAATTTGACCACCCGCCGAACAATTAGCATGTGTACTTTAATCACACAAAAGGATTTGTGATTCTATCAAAGCAATAAAAAAATAACCTGTTATTACGATATTGGTTAAACAGGACAACTTCAGCATCCCCTTAAGTTGAAGCACACCTTCTTCTTTTATCAATGCGCATCCTATATCTATATATAACATGATTTTATAATTCGCTCACGCTTTCCTCCGTCGTTTATTTGATTCTCAGGTCGATATTGCGGCAGTGGCAAGATGCACGAGCCAATAGTGTCGAGCGGAAGTCGCATGCTGATAACATATGTGACGTCTAATCGGCAAAGTGGTCATCGCGGTTTCACGGCAAGCTACGAAGCTGTTTGCGGTGGCGATGTCGAATTAGATGGCATAGGTCATCTGGAGTCGCCGAATTATCCAGAAGAATATCAATCCAGTAAAGAATGCGTGTGGAAGCTGTCCGTGCCTCAGGACTATCAAGTGGCTTTGAAGTTCCAGTCTTTCGAGATCGAGAATCATGATAATTGCGTGTACGATTACGTCGAAGTGCGTGACGGACATAACGACGATTCTCCTTTAATCGGCGTTTATTGCGGTTACAAGGTGCCGCCAGATATTAAATCGACGGGAAATAAACTGCTTGTTAAGTTTGTCAGTGACGGTTCCGTGCAAAAGGCTGGGTTTTCGGCAACTTTTATGAAAGGTATGTATAACAAAAGAACAAAAACATATTTTTTGACTAATTATTGTACGCAAAGCATGTGAACAATTTGCCATTTTAATATTTAAGAATTCGACGAGTGCGTGCTGACGGATCATGGTTGCGAGCACGATTGTATCAATACACTCGGCGGATACGAATGCTCTTGTAAAATTGGTTATGAGTTACATTCCGATGGCAAGCATTGCGAAGGTAAACAGGGGTAAAAGCGGAAAATGTGTTTTACCCATCTCTCTTAATTGAAACTATATCTCAGTCATAATAAATCCTATTCTTGATAGATGCTTGCGGTGGATTTTTTGACGAAACAAACGGCACTATAACAAGTCCATCGTTTCCTGAAACATATCCAGGAAACAAAAATTGTGTCTGGGAAATTGTCGCTCCTCCTCAATATCGTATTACTCTCAATTTCACGCATTTCGATCTCGAGGGCAACAATGTATATCAGGAAGAATGCGAGTATGATTCCGTGGAGGTGGCGAGCAAGCTTGGCGACGAAGTTTTTAGAAAGCATGGGATATATTGCGGCGCGCGATTACCGCCACTAATCACATCCGAAGGCAATTTTATGAGAATCACCTTTACATCTGATAACAGGTTTTATTTTATGTCGTGTATCCGTTCAATTTTTTTTCAGTGCATAGTTTACCTGCTTTATGCGTTGTAGAAAACCTTGCAGTGTTATGTTTTTCTATATTATTACTTTCGATACTACGAGGAAAAGTAAAAAAAGTAAAGGGACTTCTTTTCAAAGAGTCTGATTTTTCAAATGTCCTTGCAGTTTTTTACTTACCCTTGTATTTATATTTGATTAACTTGCTCAATCATGTAAGAATATTTAAAATCGATTCGAAATTGATATTAAATTGTCATAGTGTAAAGACATCAAGACATATCGGAAGATACAATTAATGCTCGTCATTTATGTCATACGTTTCATTGTAACAGCGTCCAAAAATCGGGTTTCGCTGCTGTATTTTTTACGGATATAGACGAGTGTGCCAATAACAATGGAGGGTGTCAACACGAGTGTAAAAATACGATAGGCTCTTACCAGTGTTCTTGCCACAACGGTTTCACACTTCACGAGAACAGTCACGATTGCAAAGAAGGTGGTTGTAAATACGAGATTACCGTGCCCATGGGAACAATTACCTCACCGAACTATCCGGAATATTATCCTGGTCGTAAAGATTGCGTTTGGCATTTTACTACAATGCCGGGTCACCGAATAAAATTGGTTTGTATTTTTATTTTGCAAAGTTTTAAATAATTTTGCACCTTGACACATTAACAAATGAGAGAGAGAGAGAGAGAGAGAGGGAAAATATTTGAAAAAAAAATACGAAAAAGAAATTTATGACAATTTCGCAGGTATTCAAAGTTTTTGAGATGGAGCCACACCAAGAATGCGCGTACGATCACATCGCTATTTATGACGGGGATTCACCAGACAGCATTACTTTAGGTAGATTTTGCGGTACCAAAGAACCACATCCGATCCTTGCAACGGGCAACCAAATGTACATGGTTTTCAAAAGCGATGCTTCCGTGCAAAGGAAAGGATTTCTAGCGACTCATAGCACAGGTAAATTTGCGACAACATTTGTAATTAAAATTTCAACACAAAAATTCCAATTCTAAAATATTTTAACGACAAGAGTCAAAATGATTGAAACGCAAATAAAAAGTACTTGAGGATCCTTCGAGTCATGATACATTGCGCGCAATAGAGATATTCTAATTCGTGTTTGCAGCTTGTGGCGGTCATCTTATGGCAACGGATAGAGTGAAGCACTTATATTCGCACGCCAGATATGGCCATCATCCTTACGATCACAAAACCGACTGCGACTGGATAATAGAAGCACCACTTGGAAAAAATGTGCACTTATCTTTTCGTTCATTTCAACTTGAGTATGAAATTGAATGTGGATATGACTTTGTCGAGGTTTTCTCCGGTTTAGATACATCCAGCCCGCCATATGGTCGATTTTGCGGTAATTCCGTAAGTATATATTTATTCAATAGTAAAACAATATTCCAATGACGTTAAAGCGTCTTATTTTTATATAAAATTATCGCTTTTACGTTGTAGAATACCACCGATTTTATTTCCATGAACGAGGCGTTACTGGTAAGGTTTAGAACGGACGATACAATTTCGAATAAAGGTTTCATGGCCGTTTTTGTGGTAACTGATCGACAAGATAGCGAAGAAAATCTTGGTGGTGAAGATGATGAAGAGCAAGATCTTTGATCCTTAATCGGGCTTTCCAATCAATTGGAATAAATTTTTTTGTTAAAAGTTTTTAGGAAAAATACTTACGTATATTCTTCATACGTTACATATGTTATAATTTTCATCTGTGTTAGAGGAAGAATGTTTGTCCTGCAAAACAGACATACTACATCGAGGATAAAATATCCGCCCGATCAAAGCTTAAGATAAAGCCTGCCTAGTTACAACAACACGATAATAATTAATGACTGCGTAGTAACATTAATTATGTTAAGCAATTTATTATATTAATTTTATTAAGTTAACGCACACATTGCACACACAAACATTTTATAAGATTTTCTAAATCTTGAATCATCGAACTGCAGAGTTATTTTTCAAGTCATAGGGCGGTATTCATAGTCCGTTCTTATATTCAAGATAATCTTAAGTCGTCATCGTCGTCGTCTTAAAATATTAATATGATTGGTTCATAACATCTTAAGACAATCTTAAATATAAGAACGGACTATGAATACCGTCCATAGTAAGCCAGAACATTAAAATTGCTAATTGTAAATGGTTACAAAAGTTTGGCAATTCTTATTTTAATGAATAATAACATGTAGATTTTTATTTCTGTCTCGGAGCATAAACTAAATCCAAATTGTAAAATATAAGGAAAATATTCTTTTACAAAATATAATAATTATTACTGAGAATATTTTCACACATGAGGAGTATATATATGACGAATAAATGATGTACATTCTATTTCGATTTTATCGGCAAGAAGCCTAATCTTTCGATAATAATTAATATTCCGGTACAGTGCCAAATGCATATACAATTTCCGAATTTAAAAAGCGATCGTATTTATTCAGTTTCCCATTATCTTTCATCCATCATAATGGTAATAATTAATGATAAATTATTAATAATAAATTAACATTATTTGTGAAATTTCTACCAACAGGTATTTCATTATAAAATATTAATTAGCCTGTCGTGGGCTATTAATGTGCCATATTAAAATAAATCTCTTTCTCTGTCATTAATTAACAGTACGTTTTAAAATCAATAAAAGTAAAACAATTTGTTTGTGGGAAAAAAATAAAATTAAAATAATGCTGCATCGTTCAAGGCTGCATTTATAACACATTTTTAATACAGGGTCTCTGGGAAAGATTACGAAGCCTCTCGTAAGCAGGTGGAGCGCAATAAACTGAACGAAAAAGTCCTTTACTATTTTGCAATTTTCGCAATAATTATCAAGGTAATAATTAAAAAGGATTAACAAAAGAGCGCGACTAGACCGTAGAGGATGGGCGTAACAGCAGCAAGTGTCGCACGGCAAGAAAATGTGCGATCGTTTGGCGAGGACACGCGCTTATTTGCCAGTCCATTTTAATTATTATCTTAATAATTATTACAAAAATTATAAAAGGACTTTATTGCTCTCTACCCGCTCGCGAAAGGTTTTGTAATCTTTTCCAGGCACTCTGTATAAACGATATAACGTATATGAAAGATCATTATCTGTATTGTATAATCGATTTATTAATTAAAAAAAAAACTTTTCTTAAAAAAACTCATTGATATTGTTCTCATGAAGGACAAACACTGCCGACGCGACAGTAATATCAATATTTTATGCCTCATGACGGTGAAACGATTAGATTTATAAGATAAAGACTTATTCACGTAATTACGCATCGTGCTTTTAGCATTTTATATGTGCGGTGCATCGATAATATCTAGTACGATACTTATGATCTTATAATGTATTTATCTTTGCGCAATGCATTCGTATTGCGATTAACATAAACAGGTGTAAAGGATTTGGTTAGCTTCACTGAAGATGAAAGAGTACTGTATTCAAAAAGATACGAGAGCCGATAGCGTTTTGTAGATATTACGCTGTTTTCCAATTAGAAGCTATTGTCGAAAAATGATATAATATTGCGATTTCTAAACACGAATATATAAAATATGTGATATAAATAATTACCTGTATATCGTGTGGATCATTATGTGTGTATGTATGCTGGTATCGTTTGCGAGAGAATATCTGATATTCTGTCATATATGTCTGTTGTATATTGATAAAATTAGTTATATATAGACATATTGTTTTATATGTAGCAGCAATATTGGCATATCGTAGTTCATTATATTACTAAATAAATATCGAGAGGTTTCGTTTATCTTTTTATATTTATACAAAGAATAAGACGTATTTTATCGAGATCTAGTTATATGTAACTTATATGTAACTAACTTATATGAGGAAGTCATTATCTAATTGTTTAAAATTATATAATTACAGAAAGATAAATTTCATATCATTACAAAATTCAAAATTGTTTTTTGTTGATAAATTTGTATCCAATACTTAACAAAATGTATATATATATATATATATATATATATATATATATATATATATGATATAAAATATTTAATATTTAGTACAATAATATATTTTTAGCCCTTAGTACAATACAATATATTTAACATTTCTTATTCATAATATCAGCATATCATATATATTTAAGTCTGTATCAAAATTGCGTGAGAACTGTCTTGCAATTTTTGTGCATTTTACGACTCATTGAAGAAAAGAAAATGTTACAATTATAAATATGTAGAGACTATATATTATACATTGCGACCGTATTCTTTTTTAATCATTGCCGTAAAAATATCTGCAGTTGTCTAATTGATATACAGGGTGTTCCATTTTATTTTAAACAGTCAAAATCTGAAAAGCATGGGATTTTAGAAAAAAATGTTTTGTAGAAAAGTTTTATGATTTTGAAGGGGACATAAGATGGTGCCGTTGATCCTTGGATAGTCCTTTGAAGATCACGTGAAGATCAATTTTTTATTGCATATTCTTGTAGCTTACCTCGAGAACTTTTCAAAACACTATAATAAAATATTTTTTTATTGAGCACTTTTCGAGTTATAAGGCTTGAAATTTACAATACCGCCGGCATTACCCAAAGTGCATTACCGCGTGGAGGTTGTACAGTCGAATTTACACCTCTGTTGTGTGTGTATGGTATTCGCGCTCGCATGCGGATGGAGACGCGGACCCCATGGCTCGTCACTTCCGAAAGTTTCGCGGTATTTTTTGACTCCAACCGCTCTCCAACCACATACCTTACAGCAACTGTTTGAAGTTGTTGCCGTTCTGCTTGATACAGAATCGAACTCACCTGTTAAAATTCACCTGATTTGACCTCCCCAGACTTTTTTCTGTGGGGATTTCTCGAAAACGTCGTCTACCGCGAACGACCAACGACGACAATCGATATGATGAACCGCATCGTGGCTGCCTGCAAGAGAATTTCTGCACCTGTATCCAGCAGAGCGGCAACAACTTCGAATAGTTGCTGTAAGATACGTGATTGGATAGCGGTTGGAGTCAAAATATACTGCGAAAGTGACGTGGGCTCGTGTCTCCATCCCGCGTGCGAGTGCAACACACACGCGCACACACAACAGAGGTGTAAATTCGACCGTCCAACTTCCACGCGGTACACCTTGAGCCGGCGGTACTGTAAATTTCAAGCCTTATAACTCAAAAAGTGCTTAATGAAAAAATACTTTATTATAATGTTTTGAAAAGCTCTCGAGGTTAGTTACAAGAATATGCAATAAAAAATGGAAATTTCCATTTAAAAAATTGAAAGTGACCTTCACGTGATCTCCAAACGACTACCAACAAACCAATGGCACCATCTTGTGTCTCCCTCAAAGTTATAAAACTTTTATACAAAACATTTTTTTTCTAAAATCCCGTGATTTTCAGATATTTGACTATTTAAAATAAAATGGGACAAGGATGTCCCTATATAATCTCTTCTCTTTATTTATTATAATTATGAGAAAGACTATTCTAGCACAGTATCAACCACTTGACATACGATCCATGATATCCAATAAGAATATTTATTTTCTAGAAATAAATATGTACGTACGTTGCATAAACTGACGTATCTCTTCATAGTGACTTTTCTTTAGTATGGTATCTTGATTTGTACTTTCATAAAAGAGCTACCGTGCTCCATTGTATTCTCTATTCTCTATGCACTGTTCTGCAAGCTGGTGTAATTGCAAAATGGAATAATACATTACATTTGTAAGTTACTTGCTTCGCTGTACGCTCGAGTTACGTGTATCTCCCGTGTGACCATTGGAGATATTGCCAGAAAGGTTGTCAGACAATTTTTCGTAAGTGAAATTATATTGCTCCTAACCTACAAAAGGCGCGCGCGACGGTACACGAAGAACCATTATCATATAACTTCGCGCTCACGCGACTTTTGTGATTTCTCGCCGGCCGGTCTGCAGCTCAATTCTTGCCACACGATTTCGTCCAAGTGAGTAGTGATGTCTTTCAATTTTCTCTGCTCGGGCACAGTATTTATTCTGGATAATATTTCCGTTTATGTCAACCTTTTTGTTTATTGCCGTTGGCACTTTGAGGTTAGATCTTCGATATGTCGTGCAACTTACACACAGTGATTTATAGCAAAAGTTATGTAGAATTATTTATATAGAAAGTTATGGGAGTTGTTTGCCATAAAATCAGTTATTAAAAAGTCTGGCTTTAAATGGCTTTGAAATTTCCACAACTCATAAATTATTATTAACAAATGTTTCTTTGGCGCAGAGAATGATGTGTTGTAATCAGATGAAATATTCTAGATTTTTATTTGCAATTAAAAATTTATATATTAAAATTTTTATTAAAATTTTTCTCTTAATTTAGATTTTTAGTATTTGTTTTGAAAACTTTTTGTTTCCATTATACACACTAATTTATCATTGTAATATCGTATATCCAATATTTTTTTATTGTAAAAAGAAAATTTTCTCAAGAAATTGGTTACATTTTTGTCGAACTTTTTTCTTGGCATTTTTATATATTAAGTTTTATATTGATACAAATTTTGTATTAATTTATATATTAATATACTTATATAACATGATTATAGGATAAAACAAAATTCTGTCACATGATGAAATCTAGTATTATAACAAAACTTTTTATTTTAAATAAACTTAAATTAATATATTAATATTTATAAATAAATATAATATATAGATATATATAAATATAATAAGAATTATAAGTAAATTTAATATATTAATATTTATAGATAAATAATGGCGAGTGCAGAATCACTTGCAGAAGTAACAGATGTTGTACAAATTCTTCGACAATGGGAAGAAGAACACAGTTCACCAACCTACGATCCTATTCCTGTACTACAAAGATTAGCAGACATAATAGAACTGGAAACGGAGAATTACATGAAGATGGATCCAGATCCATTTGATGAGAGACATCCCTCGCGTACTGATCCAGAATGTAATTTTGGACATATATTGAAGGTTTTATTCAGAAAAGATAACTTTATGACAAAGGTAACTGTATACAAAATAACATACAAGTGTTTTTTAAACACATTTATAAAATATAGTAGTATACAACACACATGCACATATACACAACATATACACAAATGATAATCACTCACTGGAATAGAATGTGATTAATAACAATATTTTTATTATTTGTAATTATTTGGAAATTATAATTTTATTATAATACGCTTTAAATGGCATAATATGTTTGTTTCCAGTTAATAAATGATTATTTGAGGGATACATATTGGTCTCGAGCAGGGGTGACTGGAAGGGATGTTAGAAAGCTGAATATTGCAGCTTGTCGTTTGATGCTAGATATACTTCCAGGATTAGAAACATCAGCAGTATTTCAACCAGATATGGAAGGTCTTATAAATAGATTATTTTCTTGGGCAGAGAAAAGCATTGAACCATTGCAGAGTTACTCAACCGGTCTTTTGGCTGCTGCCATGGAAGTGCAAGACATTGCCACAGGATTTAGAGACCAGAATGCCAAGATGGTACCGTTGATGTTGCAACGATTGCACAACTTGCAACAGAAAGCGCATGAAGATCGCCAACAAAAAGCGCACGAAGATCGTCAGAAAAATGTCAGGCCATTTGCTCACTTTGGACAAGACAGAAACAATGTTACTGATTTTGACGACAGAGGTATTCCAGGAAAACGCAAGATGCGAGAGAAACAGCAGAGAAACGGAGTTGCGAAGAATCAAGATTTACCCTCTTCCGATGAAGATGATTCCACGCGTAATTCCGATGACATGCCAATCGTCAAGAAAAAGAAGAGCAATTTTGGTTGTGAAACGCCTGTAAAAAATAGTGAGCTATATCCTGTGATTATGTCTCCGCCTCTATCCATCCCGAAAAGCACGAATAACTCTGTCAATTCCAAAGTGACACCGTCAAAACAAAGTAACTCCACGAGGCTCACGAATATACCACTGTCTGCTAGGTGTAATCTGCATAAGTTGTCTCAGAGCTCCAATATGCATTCGACACTGCTAGATGGAAATTCAAATTCGTCCTGGGCTGAGATGGAGTCGTATGTGATCGGCAATATTCAGATGCATCCTCTCACTCTAGCGACTCGACAGATGCTGATCTTACGTTATTTGACGCCTATGGGAGAGTATCAGGAATTTCTCGGTCACGTGTTTGAACAGAACGCTTTGGACTTAATATTGAAATACATAAATGTACGAGAAACGAAGGACAGCAGGCTCGCTTTTGAGGCTCTTAAGTATCTCGCATCCTTGTTATGTCACAAGAAGTTCTCAATCGAGTTCCTCAACGTCGGTGGTTTGCAAAGATTGTTGGACGTGCCGAGACCAAGTGTCGCGGCAACAGGTGTGTCTATATGTCTCTATTATCTCGCATATTGCGAAGACGCAATGGAACGAGTGTGTCTGTTGCCGAAACACATAATATCCGATCTTGTGACATACGCGTTGTGGTTATTGGAACGCAGTCATGATTCTGGACGATGTCATGCGACTATGTTCTTCGGCTTTTCTTTCCCATTCAAAGTTATATTGGAAGAATTTGATGCACAGGATGGTTTGAGAAAGCTATTTAATGTGGTAAGAAAACATTGTTAAACAACGTTTGTGCTTACTGTAAAGAGAAAATAAGCAGTATTATACTTTTGTATATTTTATTCAAATTATTTAAATTTTGAGCATTTTTACTACAAAGAAGATAATACAAGTATAGTTATAAATTATTTTAGCATAATGAAATAAAAATACAAATTGTCTTGCTATAGATATCCACCTTACCGATTCTAAATGTCGAAGAAGAACCGACAATAAACGACGATGAAGAATGTGCATCAAGACAAATCGTACGACATGTAGCTGTTGCGCTGAAAAGATACATGGAAGCGCATTTGCATTTGAAAGCTGAACAATTGCAGCGTGCGGAAAATATTAGAGCTGAACGTGATACATGGCAGCCCTCATTACCACCTTACAAGGTTAAATATTTTGTTATTATTTCATAAAATATTTGTAATTACTTGTATTAAAATCGCATTTTTTAATGAAAAGGAAGAAGATTCTCTAAAGATACATCTATTGTTTTAGGCATGCAAGCTTAGCAGTGAAGAAGTACAGGCGAAGGTGGAGATCCTCCAAGAATTAATGTCAATTAGAGCAGTGTGGCCGCCAGTGGAGGAACTTTATCGTTTAGGTGGTATCACATTGCTCTTGCAAATTATAGCGTTTGCTCGCGAATGGAATTATAGCGGACGGTAAAGTTTTTCTAATCTTTATTGATTTCGTATAGTTTAAAATCATACATATTTTTCAATTAATATTTCTATCCGTGCAATTTTCTTAGGGTGCACACAACTTCCAGCGCAGAGACAGTTAGATCATGTTTGGACGTGATTGCAATTTGTTCTGTTGTTCCCAAAGTCATGTTGCTACTGTGTGAAAGAGTCGACATGCCAGACTTGTCAATGACAATGGCAATTAATCTTTTGCTAGCTGCGGCTGAATGTGAAATTATCGCGGACGCTGATGTACAGAGAGCAGCACTTAGAGCTGTAATTAATTGTGTATGTGCTCCCATAAACAGGGTACGAAATTTTCACATATTCTCTTAAAAAATTTCAAGTTTCTATATTCTTCTGCCCTTACAGCTATACTATTCAACTAATAATATTTGATGAATTTCAAGGTCGGAGGAAATGTAGCTAGATACTCCATAAGTGGATCTACTAAGAAAAAGGCAAATATTCACAATAGTGAGGAATTGATACAAAAAGTATGGGAAAGTGTCAGATCAAATAATGGAATAATGGTATGTTGGTGTGATCACGCCTTAAATAACACAGACCTGCGAAGTTCAGACACAAAAAGCAGAATAGTGATTTCCTACGTAATTTTGGTCGCTGAATCCGTCAGCAAAAAATGTCCATCACGTCAGGTTTTTGAGAAAAATGGGGTAATATGGGCCAAAAACAGTGATTTTTGCCATTTTCAAGGCGTTATTATGGCTGACTCAAATAAATTTTTAACATTCTGTCTGCGGTATCTTAAAGCGCCATATTTTGTCTTCAAATTGCGATTTTTTTTATTCCTGTACAATTTTTTTTCGCCGAGTTATGAAGGTTTGAAGATGGCAACTTTTTGATGATGAGACTATTGCACTGCTGAAATGGTGAAAAATCGACAATTCGGTGAATTATAAAGTAAATATTTTAAAAATTCGTATCCGTGGGGATATCCACCTAAAATAAAATAACAAAAATCTATTTTTCATATTGCAATTTCTGTTTGTTCGTAGTTTGCATTCGTTAATTTCAGAGTTAATTTCAGTTTATTAACTGTGCAGGGGTTGTTTTTGAGCCGCTATTTTGAATTTTGTAATTCTGACGTCAGACTCGTGTTCAGCGACCTAAATAACTCACGGATATCAATTTTTTAAATATTTACTTTATAATTCACCGAATTGTCGATTTTTCACCATTTTATACCTTCATAACTCGGCGAAAAAAAATCGTACAAGAATAACAAAAATCGCAATTTGAAGACAAAATATGGCGCTTTAAGATACCGCAGACAGAATGTTAAAAATTTATTTGAGTCAGCCATAATAACGCCTTGAAAATGGCAAAAATCACTGTTTTTGGCCCATATTACCCCATTTTTCTCAAAAACCTGACGTGATGGACATTTTTTGCTGACGGATTCGGATTCAGCGGCTAAAGGAGGATGTTAAATATAGGTCGATTTTGGCTCATGGTGTGGAACCAAAACTACAAATGGTTTCTTATAGATTTCGTACCGTAGAATCACGTAATAAAGTTTGTTTTCTTCTAGACAGCGGGGAAAGTATGGAAAAATTAAAAAAAGACCATCAAAAATGCAATTTTCCGAGCTGGTTGAAGTTTGGAATATTCCTGGAGCGATTTTTAAAAAATGATTTGTCGCTCTTGTCCTTTTGCAGGGAGGAAATTTCGAGACTAACAAACAAAGTACAAAAGAGATCGATCCGATACATGCGTTGGAAGACACCCTTATACCCGAAAAACCACCCCCAAAATTACTTAAACGACTCTCGCCAAGCTAAAAATGATTTGTCGCTTTTCTCCTTTTGCATAGAGGAAGTTCTGAGGCTCTCACATAACATACAAAAGAGACCGATCCGATATATGCGTCGGAAGACACCCTTGTACTCGAAAAACCACCCCCAAAATTACTTAAAACGTACTACTTCGGCCAAGCTAAAATGATTTGTTTAACGCTTTTTCTTCCTTTTTGCATTAGAGGTAAGTTCTGAGGACTTCTCACATAACATACAAAAGAGATCGATCCGATATATGCGTCGGAAGACACCCTTGTACTCAAAAAACCACCCCAGAGTGCCTAAAAAATTCTGATCTAGCAAAAAATAACTTGTCACTCTTCTCCTTTGGCATACAGAAAGTTCTGAGGCCCTCATACTACATGCAAAAAAGTACGATCCGATACATGCGTCGGAAGACATCTTTTTACCCGAAAAATTACCCCCAAAATCACTTAAACGATTCTCACCAAGCTAACGGTGTCTTTCGACACATGTATCGGATCGGTCTCTTTTGCATGTTGTGTGAGGGCCTCAGAACTTCCTCTATGCAAAAGGAGAAAAGCGACAAATCATTTTTAGCTTGTCGAGAGTCGTTTAAGTGATTTTGGGGGTGGTTTTTTGGGTATAAGGGTGTCTTCCGACGCATGTATCGGATCAATCTTTTTTGTACTTTGTTTGTTAGTCTCGAAACTTCCTCCCTGCAAAAGGACAAGAGCGACAAATCATTTTTTAAAAATCGCTCCAGGAATGTTCCAAACTTCAACCAGCTCGGGAAATTGCATTTTTGATGGTCTTTTTTCAATTTTTCCGTACTTTTCCCGCTGTCTAGAAGAAAACAAACTTTACCACGTGATTCTACGGTATGAAATCTATAAGAAACCATTTGTAGTTTTGGTTCCACATTATGGGCCAAAATCGACCTGTATTTAACATCCTCCTTACCTAGGAAATCACTACTCTACTTTTTGTATCTTTTAGGACCCTTAATTTCGCAGGCCTGTGTAATTTATGTGTATCGCATAATTTAAATGAATGTATATAAGCTACACGCAATTACATAAATTACATATGTGTGCGTTGTTTTATAACAGGTATTACTGCAGCTAATGATGGTGAAGACACCCATTACTGATGCAGATAGTATACGAGCATTGGCATGCCGTGCATTAGCCGGATTAGCACGCAGCGAGAAAGTTAGGCAGATTATTAGCAAGTTACCAATGTTCACAGATGGACAAATCCAGTCTCTCATGAAAGATCCTATTTTGCAAGAGAAACGACAGGAACACGTCACTTTTCAAAAGTATGCCCTCGAATTAATGGAAAGGGTGTCTGGTAAAGCAAAACCAACAGGTGCAGAATATGAAATCTCTTTAGTTAGTTTGCACAGGGTAAGCTACTTTCACTTCATACACACGTACATACACGGAGTTTTTACTCATTTGACATTTATTCGTCTCTTCAGCATCCTTTAAAAAATTTAAATTGTCTTTCCCTTTTCCCTTGTTTCCTACATATCTAATCTGTCTTTTTTTTACATTTTTTCTTTGCAATTTTGACATATTTTGAAACAAATTGTCGTTTTTAGGCCAATGTTGTGGCGCAAACGAGGATACAATATAATGAGCAACAACTTAATCAATTAATATATCAGCATCTGATGTCGAAGGGATTATCCGAGACAGCTAATACGTTACACAGAGAAGCAAACTTGGAGTCATCTGCACTTATGAGATCTACAACAGCATATCAACCTTTCACATACCGAAATCCTGGAAATGTAACCGTAAGTTTTTTTCGAAACAATAGAAATTATAAAATAAGACTCGCTTTTGCAATCCTAAAGATATGAGATTTATAATATTAAGAAATATTTTTAACATACATATTTTTTTTTTTATAAAATAATTAACTATTATTTTAATAAAATTAATTAAATTAAATATTAATAAATTAATGTTTATCATAAACATTAAAATACTATTTTTTCTGTTCTAGCCAAGAAATAGTTTTTCTGCATCTGTCAATTTATACAATACAATCAGGTGTACACAAAGAGAAGCTAATTGTAGAAACAATACCACCACTCCCACATCGTCATCTCGATTTATATCCCATACAGGTGTATGCTCTGCTTCGCCGTCTGTGAGTAATAACATCCGATTGAAACTCGCAGACTGCCTGAATCAAAATGTCATTTCGAATAACGTAAATCTGCCAATTAAACTACAAATTAATCAGAAGTAAGTCGCATATATTTGTTTCAATATATTTTTTATTTTTCGTTCTCTTCTAACATCCATCGTCGCATTGCAGAAAATCAATATCATCCGACAGACAATCTCTAGTCATTCCAACTGGTTGCCAATCTATAGTACAATCTCAACCAACCAGTTGTAGATCTTTACAGAAACAGATTTCTAGAGACTCTGGAGGTGGCGGAGGGCCTGGTGTAGCTACTTCCAATTTATCTGTTACTCTCGATTCTATTATTACGGAATATTTAACCAATCAACATGCTCTCTGTAAAAATCCTATGGTAACGTGCCCACAGTTTAATCTTTTCGAGTAAGTAATAAATGTACTTTTTACTTTCGAGTAAAGAATTCCGAGTTGAGCTTACAATAGATAAAATATGATTATACTTTTAAATGCAAGGACTCGTTTTATCCGTCTATTTCAATTACTATTACAGGCCTCACAAGTGTCCGGATCCGTGTACAAAAAACTCTTCGCCAACGAACGTCACAGTAAGATTAGCTAGGCGGGCATTAGGGATGGACGGCAGAAGATTAGATAGGAGACACATTTACAGCCGTTTCTGTCCTGTAAAAACTTTTCGGCCTACCGATGTAGGAGGAATTGCCTTCACTTGTTGTACTTTCTCGGTAAATCATGATTTATTCCAAATTTTTTTATATTGTTTTATCGTTTTGTACGTCTCTCTTTAATTGTACCTTTGATTACAGCCTTGCACACAATATCTCATTTTGGGCACCCATGCTGGAGACATCAAAATGTTCAATGTCCATACAGGAATGGAAGAGGCGACTTATCAATGTCACGAGTCATATGTGTATCATATGGAATGTAATCAGCGTGGCAATCTTTTGTTGACCTCGACCACTTGGAGAAGTCCTATGTCAGCACTCTGGGACATAGGGGCGTTTTTTGAAATGAAACTTCCTTTAGAAAATGAAGAATATGTTGAATTCGGGAAGTTGCAGGACAGAATAATCGGTACGCAAGCAGAAATCGCGACAGTAAGTATGCCAATTTTTTTATCGATTACATATGCCAATTTTTTTATCGATACATTTAATCGCATATTAAATCAGTTGCATAACTGCAGCAAATTGTCTAATGAACAACAAAGTTTGTGCAATTTTGCGAGAATAAACTGGACAAAAACTACACGAATTTTGTTGATTACTAATATTTCACACTTAACTTTACAGTTACATTGTGGTATCGTGAAAGGTAATCTCTTAATAAGACCTTGTGTTTTATGTTTCTATTATAGATATATGACATAGGAACTGGTAAATTATTAACAACCTTGACACCATCAATTTCAAATCAATATACCAAAAATCGAGCAACTTTTAGTATGAATGATGAATTAGTGCTTAGCGACGGCATATTGTGGGATGTTAATTCGGGCAAGGAAATCCATAAATTCGATAAATTGAATCAAACATTAAACGGAGTTTTTCACCCAAATGGAACCGAAGTTGTGTCCAATACCGAAGTGTGGGATTTGAGAACATTTCACTTACTCAAGACAGTTCCTACTCTGGATGAAATGGAAGTCATCTTCTCACCGGTCAATAATATTATATATGCAGTTGCATTAGATCAAGAAAATGAAAATGATTCTCATTATGTGACTTCCTTTAAGACTCTGGACGCTTTAGATTACAGTAACATTGGTAAGAGATAGAAAGAGAAATGGAGAGGGGGAGAGACGTATATATTACAAAATTTAAAAGATAGGATTTTGTCACATTTGATATATTTATTTTATTAATAAATATAATTAAATATTTCAGCGACTTGTGATGTGAAAAGAGGAATCTATGGCCTTGCGTGCAACAAATTTGATACTCAAATTGCCATAGTGGAAAATATAGGTGAATTCTCGAGTATACAGGAATCGTGCGTTAGATTGTACGACGTTGGAAGACAAAGAGACGACGAGGATGAAGCAGATGAGGATGATGATGAAGAAGATCTTGATGCCAGTGACGACGATGGTTCAAATTCGGCGTCTGATGATAATAATGTAGATGGTAAAAATTTATATCACATTATTTGCCGCTGTTTCTATCTCAATGTTTCGTGTTGCGCACGATACATCGATATATTATTTTTTTAATTAAATTATTACGTTTCAATGTGAGACAGGAATTTTATTCGTTCACTCTGTTTAAGTAGATGGCGATAATGCGGATGCCGGGGCAGAGGACAATGGCGACGATAACGATCAAAATGATAGGGAAAATAATGATGACGATGACGGTGATGATGAAGATGGTGGAGATGACGATGATTCTGGTGATGATAGTGCGGATTACGATCCCAATGTCGATATTCATGATTTCTCGGATGATTTGTCTTTGTCGGACATGGATTTGGAAATGCTGTTTTCGTGAACGTTATTGATAATCTTGTATGTATATATATGTACGCACTAATATATCGTGTGTGCGTGTGCGTGCGCGCGTGCGTGCCTGCGTGTGTGTGATCATTGTATTGTATGATATATATGCGTGTGCGCACGCGCGCACACACACAAAATATGTATTAAGTACTAAAAAGGAATTACATCGTATTATATTATTAATTGCCAACGCTCTAAATGTATAAATATTTTTAGCCAATTTGTCAACTGTAATTTCAATGTGTTCAAAAGCTTCTCGGGGATAAATATGCCTATATATTCTGTTTCATAAGAGAATGTCTTCGATTTTTGTACGTTATGATAAAATCTTCGTTTGGAAGCCGCTTATTCGATTATAAATAATAATGTAGACGTAATGCCAGTACAGATGCGTTTGTATGCAAGCAAGCTTATCAAGTTAAAAGAAACGTCTTGCATATGTGTGTTCATGTTAACTGCCATGTCAGACGACTTCTATCTTCACCTTATTTTATAAAATGCACAGATCGAAGTCATTCTTCCATGGAATGAATTATATTTGTCAAATTGCAGATGGTCGATTGTAAATGATTATTATTACTTCTGTTTAATTATTGAATAAATATAAGAACATATAACACGTGTTATATGTTCTTTTCAATCAAGAACCAAGTATTAATCTGTTGTGTCTTTGTATAACATAACTGGGCGCTATTGCAGCAAGTAATACAGTGCAAAATGGCGAAATTTGCACGGTAGTAGGAGAATAAGCGTACTTTACAACTATAAAAATAAGACTAACAGGATATAATATTTTCAGTTTGTTTGCGGTAAATTAAATCTCAGAACTTGCCAGATTTGCCTCAGATTGTATTTCGCAGGATTGGAAGTTTCAATAAAATTAAACTAATTTTTATTCATCGAGGTAAGAAAATAAGATCGAAGTTTACATAATTTTATAAAAATTTTATAGAAATAAAGCGAATAAAATGTAATTACAATTATAAATATGTAAGATAAGATATTTGTAAAAAGTCGCTCAAACTGTGTCATTTATTATTAATAAAATCTTATGAATTTGTATAAATTTATATTCAAATATTATAACCAGCATTATCCATTGTGTTCAAGGAAATTAATTATTCATATATATATATCTTAGAAGTCAAATCGAACTTTATCAGATATCTTATCGCAATAGTTATATACTTATATTATTTATATTTTAGAATCATATGTTATTTAACAATTTGCAATAATACCTACAGGTTCCAAAGATTCAAACAATTTAATCTCAATGTACTATTCAAATTGTTTGTTCATCTGAGCATTTTGAGCATTATCGAAATAGAATCTGTTTCATTGCAGGATACGAGTTTTTTACAATAAGTGATAAAGATGAAAAATGAGTTAAAAACAAAAAAAAGGAAATAATAATAATGCTGAAGATAATAATCATTGCACGGAGAATCTATTACAAGCTTTCAAGATCGGTAGATATCGTGTATTCCGGCGCTATCTGATCGCGCGCTACAAATAGAAATCACTGACGATAGATATTGCACGTATGCGCATCGACAATATTCCTAATATGTAAACAAATGCTTGTTAATATAACCGGTAAAATACAAATGAAGAAAATTTGCGAATCATCTTCCTTGGTTTTTCCCGATCCGTTCAGATCGTGGAAAAATTCGTTCGAAAAGACAAAACTTTCAGCGATTGTAAAAAAGATTTTACTGTAGTTTTACAATCCATCATTCCTGTGAAAGATTTTCATACACGATAGAAACATCACTATTATCACTTTGTCAACTTGGTTCAGATTGCGAGTAATAAATGGATTGACTATCTGCAAATTATCTAATCGTTAGCATGTATGCCGACACGCTAGTGATGGTCAGCGCATTAAAGTCAGTTTCCGTGAAACCATGCTGGAAAATTGTCGATGGTTGTTGTACGCATCGCGTCTCTATGGATGTCATCCTCACACGATCGACGAGCGATCGAGGCTTGCTAATTTTCGGCTGCTAATAGCATACTCGCTGGTCGCGTGTACTATATATTGCTCGATAGCGTACTACATGAGCATCGCCATCAACTGCATCGCCAGAAACATGATGATTGTAGGCTGTGTTCTGCAGCAGATAAATCGATACAGCAGGAGTTTCTACATGATATTGACGCCTTTGCTGTCGTGTTTGCGACACACGGAGTTTGAGCGTGCCGTAGCCGCCGCTCGTAAATTTGACGATTTAACGCGACATCATCGCTGGCGCATTGATCACGGGCGAATAAATCGCCGCTATGTGCAGTGGCTGGTTATACTGGTGATCCTCGTTGGTTGGATTTTGTTGAGCGTACTGGCAAAATTTGCCGTACCACAAATGATTTCGCGCTCAATTGTCATACAATGTACAATGCGAGCTATTTTCTCAGTGGAGATTGCGAAATTTTGCTTTCTGTACGATGCATTGCGTTACAGATTTTGTCGTCTCAACAGACTGTGCCTCCGATTGACCGGTATAAATATATAATCGATCGGTCAATTTCAGTTTAACTGAGTCCAAATTGAGTTAATTGATTCTAAAATACTAATTGTAATTGTCAAACGCTTATATTAACGTAAAGCTTGTTGAAAAATATTTTAAGAATTGTGACATTTAAATGAGATGGATTTGTTGAACAGCATTGTTATGTTACTACTTTTATAATAATATAATCTTCAAACAGTTAACGCGAATGGTTAAAATCTTACACAGGGGTAGAGATCGGCGTTGATACCGGCATATCTGCGATACACTCTGAGCGTCTTACAATCTCAAGTATTCAGCGGTTGCACCAATGTCTCACAGATGCAACAAACTATCTCAATTCTTACTACAGTCTACAATTGCTCTGTTGGATCGCGTGCATATGCACGGATGTTGTAACATTTGTTTTTGACGCTCTTTATGGAACGAACAGCGTGGCGCGAGTTTACGCTCAATGTATTATACTCTTGTATTTGTCACTTCAAGTTATCGCTATAAGTTGTGTCTGTCATTTGACATGTGATCAGGTACGAGTATCATATAGTTTGTATTTGCACTAAGCAAGCTTGATATAATAACTGTGCAAAATTGTTTTGAACAATATAATGATGCGTAAAATTGCGTTCTAGGCAAACGCGTTGGCAGGAACAGTATTTTCGGTGGAAGCTTCCGCATTTAAACAAACCGAATCTACGACTGTAAGTATATTACACAGGACATTTTTAAAACAACTTATCAATTTTTCATGAACGCTATGCATAAATTAACTTAAAATTAGATTTGTTTTTTTTTTTTTACTAATGAAATTTAAATGAGTTTTATTGCTTTCATTGAATAGTTTTTAATAAACAGTTCTATATATTTAACCAAGTCAATCTCAATTTAAAATTGAATTACAAATAACATTTTTTATTTATTTTTACTCCTACAGCTTAATTTAACGAAAATTTAATTATTTTACTATTTTATTTATTAGCTTATTATGGTCGTTTAGAGCCAATACATAGTTTTAGTATATTGAGAAAAAGGAACGAATCCACTGTATAAAAAGATATAAATTAAATAATTGACAATTTTATTTTAATTAAAAAAATTGAAAAATATTTTTACGATGTTATTTTTTTAGGAAGCAATCGAGTTGGGAGTATTTTTTCGGACGCATCCATTATGCGTGAAAGTCTGCGGCTTGTTCAATTTGGACAATCGATTTGTATTCTCAGTAAATGATATTTTTCCATTTGCTTTTATTGTGTTTTTCGAAATAGCAGAAATAGTTTAACAACAATATTAAACATCCGATTTTTTTTCTTTTATTTCTCCTTTTAAGTCAGTTAACACTTTCGTGATCGTTATATATTCGGCTCTGCTCAACGCTTGGAACCGCTCTATTATATTGAATTGATGTAAAATCCGACATTTTATATTACATAATCCAATACAATGATGCAAAAAACAGTAAAATTACGTGACCGCCCCTGACTTATACCGAAGTATAAACGTAAAAATACGTGAGCGGCTGCGAAAGTGTTAATGTCAATTATAATAAACATTATTTAGTCTCTATCTTTCTTCTAAATGATTTATTAATGTTTTACATAGGCATTTGGCGTTATACTGATGTATGTGGTCCTAGCATCATCCATACATTAAACTTGAATGATAATCTCCTTTCAACCAACGTGACAAACAAGAAAGTAAATGATTCCAGGAAATTTCTTCTACTGTTTATTTCTTTTAACCCTTTTAACCGGTTCAAGAAAAGGAGGGCGCTGTGACTAGCAGCACATTGTGAAACCCTGGTGAAAATAAGAAGTTTCATGAGTGTTTGTTTGGCGTTTATGTGAACGTTTGCGGAAGTTCGTTGAGAGTTTAAAAACGGTCAGTAGAGTTCATAGAGCGGAAATTGCAACGCTGCTGCGTTTGAAAGGCGTTTGTATACAGCGTTTAATGATGTTAAGCGTTTGCTGAGAGTTCTTTAAAACGTTTATAGATCATCTGTTAAACATTTAATAGGCGTTTGCTCTCATCATTGAAAACTGCGTGCAGTCTTTGTTAAGTGTTTATCGGGCGTTTACTCTTGTCATTAGAAACGGCGTGAAGAACGTTTGCTGTGGATTTGGGAGTGTTTGTGAACATTCAGTAATTGTTAGTCTAAGGAAAAATCATTGAAAAATGAAAGATAAAAATACAATCATTACATAGATAAAAAAATCATTCACTACATGGGAATACACGTTGGTTCAAACAACCAAATTACACTAATAATGCTGAAAGACAAAAATTTATGCAATATATATCATTATACATTGACTTAAAATAACTAAATTACAATAATAATAATTAAATTTAACAGAGAAAAGGGTCTTGAATGCCTTAAAAGAATAGTGAATGTAGCTACAGCAGTGCTGAAAACAAGAGAAAAGTAAGGACAAATCGATAAAATATTTACAAAATTTCACAAAATCGTACTCAAATTTAACAAATTTTACATACTTAATATTTTCCACTGCTTCTGATGTTGGTGATGGAATGAAATCGAACAAATAATTAAATGGTTAATGTTGCTGTAATGAGAGTTGTGTTGGTTGTTGCTGGGGTGGCGGTTCCTGATATAGTTGTGTGGTAGCTGTTGTTGCGGTGGTGATTGCTGAGGTGGGAGTGGCTGTTGAGTACTGAGTTGCGGATGTGGTAAATGTTGCTGAAGTTGCTGTATTTCAAGCAGTGGCTAACCTCTTCTCGTATATTTGCGCTTTGGCTCCGTGGGTCCACTTTGCATGCGCTCAGGGGCATTGAGGTCTTCCCCTTTTTTCCTCGTGTTGGCACCTCGAGGGCCCTGCATATCATAAGCCCGATCCGCAAGGTAAGCGGGGAGTGTATTTACATACTTCTCCACTTCTGTGGCTGAGTATTTTGAATGCAACTGCCCACTCTCATTCCGAATCTTCTGTTTTACTAGCCAATCGCGGTGCAGGACTATAAAAAGAGAGACTCTAAGTTTTTTTTTAGTATAATTAAAATTATCGCATAATTTTAAAAAATCCATGTGAAATGGTTACTCACACTTGACTATCATAAGGAAGTTCGAAAGGAACTTCTCGTTCCCAGTGTGTTTGCTGTTGAGTCGCACCCTTATAAGGTGCGCTTTCTCACCAAAGACTCCTTTGAGAAGAGCATATGCCCAGTCAGCGTGGCTCTCTTCCACATTTATTAATTTGTTATATGCTGCTTTGAAGCAGAAAACTCCATCTCCAAGGGGTACCTGATAGGAGAGAACACATGAGGTTAATTATTAGGGATACAAATAAGTTTTAAACCGTTTTTTTGAAAATTCAAGATTTTTTTGCAGAAATTCAATAATACATTTAAGTATCAAAATATTCTCCGTTATTATCTATGACCTTGCGCCATCTTTCGGGCAGCTTACAAATTCCGGCAGTAAAGAAAATTTCGTCTTTTGATTTAATAAAGTCGTCGACCCATTTTCGCACTTCTTCAATATTTCGGAAGCGTACCTCAGACAATGCGTTTTGCATCGACCGGAACAAGTGATAATCACTTGGTGCTATATCTGGCGAATAGGCCGGGTGCGGTAGAACATACCAACCAAGC